TGCAATTCAAGAGAAACTTTCCTTGATGCTCCCCTGTCAGCTTCTTTGTCATCTCTGAACACAAATATCTGAAACTTTCTCACCCACCTGCATGTACCCACAAGGATTCTTGTGAAAAGCTTTGGCCCACTGTGAGTGGCAAAGGTGGCAGCAACACCACTTTCTTTCCATGTAGTTCATGTAATTCATTACTACCTTTTGCTGGCATAATTGATATGATTTTCTAAGTTTCCAGATTATTATGGGTATAGCTTGAAGTCCATATTCAGTTTTAATTTTTGGAAACAATCAGTGCAGGGATCTGGTTTTAGATTTTATTCTTATGTGATCTAGAAGCTCTTGGAACCTTTATTTTTTTTTACATTCCTGAACCTTCTCCTATAGTTGATGCACACAGGTAACTTTTTCTTGAACAGAACATACTCTTTGAGCTGCCAACTACAACAGAGAGCACCTCCTGCATCTCTGAGTGCTGGACATCATACAGACTGGCACAGTTTGGATCAGATAATGTGAAAACTTAGCTGGGGATTATCAGTAGAACTGCACAAGATATCTGAAGAGGAGATAGATAATATTTGCAAGGGTTACAAGTGCCAAGTCACCTAGAAAATTGATGCAGAAAAACAAGTTTTACCTTATGTAACTTCCATTATGCCAAACAAGGAATCCTACTTAAAACCAGATCCTGCTCCCTTTGAACTAAGTGGAAAACTTTCCATTTGCTTCATTGTGGAGGATCAGACCCACAGGGAGTCTAGTTTGTCTCTGTAAACAGGATAAAGAGGCAAAAGAAACATCCGAGGCCACTCGTAAGAATTTCCTGGCAGTGTAGGTACCAATAATTAACAAGTAAAAAAAAAACCCAACTAATTCTTTATACAAAAACATTTTTATCCACATTCACTTTCCTCTGTCCATACTTACTTCTCATGGACTAGACAGAGAATTGTGAAATGTTTGGTAAACAAAAAGGACTTTGGTCTAGATTCTGTGTTCTGTCCATGTGCACTTTTTGCTTTGTAAACTTTGTTCTGGAAGCATCTCTGGGCTCAGCTAAAATGTGTCATCAAAGCAGATCCTAAACCTGACAGCTCTTACTATCTTTGTTGGAACTTGATAAAGAAATAATTTACTGTAGAGTAACACATAACTCTGTATATCCTACAACAGCAATATGTGGAACAGGATTATGTTCCTTTGCATCCAACTGTAGAAGAGCAGATGTATTCAGGTGGCCAGGTCCTGGCATATTGGTGCCCTCCATTTAAAAGTAAATGCTGCTCTGTAGTTTTCTGTGGCAAAATGCAATCTCAATAATTTCCCTTACCGACAGAGAAGCTACTTGAAAGAGTTTGAATAATGCAGGCTGTGACATTCATAAAGGAGAATTGTGTTCTTAGCTACCAGAAGAAACTATTTAAGTTAGGTAGAATGACATCACTGTCTTTTTTTTGGTCTGAGGAAAGTTAAATAGAAACCAGGAAAACATCACTGTCAATAGCAACAAACCCCAAATTCAAGGTTTGTTTGTCTAGAAGTTTCTTGCCTATTATTTACAGCTCCCATCTTCATTTCTCAAAGTTTTCCTCCTGTCTGACATGATATTCTCAGTAATTCATAAGGAAGATGTGATCTAGATAAACTGTGTAGAGGTGGGTGCGTGGCTTGTTTTTTTTAAAAAAAGCCACATTGATAGAGTAGTTATTACTGCTTTGCTGCCAAAAAAAAGAAGACAGAGAACATTTTCATTGGATCCTATGGGTCTAGTTTGAGTCTCACTGTATTTTCACAAACTTATGACCAGAGAAAATATGCATGAAACTATGCAGGATTTCAAGCTATGAGGAATGATGAACCATTTGGATGCTGGTTTTACCATCTTCAGTTTTCTTGTATTCATTTGTTGCTATGACACTGGGGCATCTGTGACATTTCTTCTCTTAGAGCTGCACTTCTTACTGGCAGCCTCAGCAGAGAAGCCAGACACTGACTGGGTTGTCACGACTGAACTGACAGACCCACAGATAAACCGATCACTGGCAGATCATCTTGTAATCATAGATCATCCAGTCCCCCAAAAAATGGTGTTGAAAAGGGTTGGTTCAAAACTGTCAAGAAATTAGCTTTAGTTTTTTGCATTATTTAGCCTATGGTCTAGCAGTGTTAGAAGTATTACAACTGGAACAGATTTCTGTCACGAGTAAGGAGAGCAGACGTACAAGTTAGCACAGTCATGTCTTCTTCAAGACCGAAGTGCAGAATGATCTCAGATTTTGGGCCTATCCCATGGCAAACAATTACAGTTGTTTTCTACATGAAATTGCTTTTGTTTTTGTGAACTACTGAAGACATAGGAGGACTGAACTCTTAAGAGGCTGAAACTCAAATTACTTGAGCCTTGCTGTGGAGGTCTGCATTTTTCCAGCATTTTATTTAATTACTTGACAAGAGCCTAGGAAACATGAAGCTGCTCTGCCTTCCTTCTGTGACATCACCCACACCAGCTACATTAAAAACTGTGTGTCTTGAGACTTTCTTGGCCCATGAGTACATTAAATATTAGATGTGGCCAGTAGATTAAATCAAATTGTTTCTGGATGTGCAGTATTTGTTTCTAATAGCTCTTTTCCACACCCTGTTTCAGTCACCGTGTGACTGAAGGTAGAGCACCTTCCCTCTGCCAAGAAATTCCAAAATGACAATGATTTTTTTGCAATGTTGTTTGGCTGATAGAAACTATGTCGTTGGTGTTCACCCCTCAACAACAAAGGCCTTTTCCTCCTGCATGTGGGTAAGGAGATTACTGTATTGTACATGCAAAGTTACACATATAAACTTTCTCATGCTGCCTGTGTAAACCAAACCCTGAGATCTGTACCTATGTGAAGTCTCCCTTCAACATTACAATATCATCATTGGTAAGTATTAGGTAAAGTGTAAAAGGAGGGACCTGGCTCTTCATTGTATATTTGAGAAAGAGTTGGGTGTCATGACTAAAGCATGGAAAAGAGGAGCACAATACCATGATCATCTTTATTCCAGGCTTTTATGAGCTGTGTGTAGAATATTAAATTTTGACCACCTAAGATTTCACACTTTTCTGGTTAGTACAAAAAGTAGAACTTAAGGAAGGACATGGTGAGAACTTTCCAATCATATCTGCAGAACGAGGAACAACTGCTCTCCATGACATTGAGGGAAAGGGGATGAGAAGGAATCACCTTGATTTGCAGCAGAGATTATTTAGGCAGGCACTAAAGAAGAGCTTTCAAAATGTCAAGACTGGAGAAGCTACTGAGAGTTTGAATCCTCTTCATCAGAAATTTTAAAAATCTAGTTCAACAACCATCCACTAGTGAATGGTTTAGGTGTGCTTGATCGTACCCTTATGTGAGGACTCAAAACAGTTCACTTATGGTCTTTTCCAGGCTTCATCTAGGATTCTAGAGGCAGTTAAAACTCTGGAAAGCTTTTCTTACTTTTTACTGCGTTTGAATCCCTGCTTAGGCAAAGACTTGCTTAGGGAAAGGCTGTGCGAATCATGTGCTACATCCACCCTCTTGTCTCCTGGGACATGAGTCACTCACGAAGTGCAGTTCTTCAAAACTATTTCACCTTCTGCCCTCTGAAGTCATTGATGGCACAAGAAGATTCTATTCCCTTGTGACCAGTGGGAAAAAATATCCAGTCATAGTTTACAGTGCTTATGCCAGTGATATACACAATATTGTGTTTTCCTTTTCAGAGGGGCAGAATGTTTATTTTTCTACCAGCTGTATCCATTTAGCATGTTATTCATCTATTTGATTTCACTATGTGTATATTTAACAGTTTGCAGTAGGGAGGATGCACTCCTTAAACAGCTTTTCTTAACACAGTTATGATTTGAGTCTACATTATCTGAATCTGATAGTATCACCTAGTGTAGCTGAATCTTGAAATTATCCCACAGATGGAAGAGATTCAGAATAATTTTGAAAATATTGTGAAGGTCATACAGTTCTAATTATCTTAAAATATCTACCTCTGAACCTAGAAAAGTTGAAAGGAAGACAAGAATACACATTCCAAAGTAAAATACTCCAAAATATCAAGTGTACCGTATATCTAAAGGGACAGAAATAATCTTAGGATGTTTTTCTTGAGTCTATTATGTCAGAGTACACCAGGGACCAAAGTTCTAAGGGTTATTTGGGTTTTCAAAACCCAACACAGAGACAGACAGCCTTCTGGAACCAGTGGAGCCATTGACTAGTTTAAAGGGGGTTGAATTCTGTCTGTGATGTATGTGTTTAGATGTACCTGGATATTTGATTATCTTAACCTTCCTGTGACTGTTATTATATCCAGGGTCAAATGCATATAAAAGAATAAACTCATAGGGCTAGTCACAGTACTATAGAATAATTTTTCTTTAAAAAAATATTCTACCTGATTTAAAGATGCAGGGATAAAAGAGTGGGGGCATGGAAGTTATTTTCACATCCTGAACACTGCTGTCTATGTAGTGAAAGTAACAAGAACACAGAAGGTTGAAAACCTATGAGTGAAGGCTGATACCCTAAGTATGACAGAACTGCTCATGTCTCACAAACTTAGAAAATCTGAGATTTGAAATCTGACACTGAAATTCTGGCCAGGGCAGATTTTGTATTAAAGATATTCGTTCAGTTCTGTGTAGTCATATAGGTAGGAGATTTCATTCACTATATTTGGGGTTGGATCTCTGTTCCAATTACAAAGGCCCTTTCCAGCTTATAGGTATCCTGAGTCCAAAGTTTTTAGCAATGAAATTAATATACATGGAACTGCAGAAATGATTATAGGAATATTTTCCTAGAGTGGTGTAGGTTTCACTAATGTGGATTGACAGTGATGCCCTTTCCTTAGATAAGCTTAGGGAAGCTGGGACAGGCTCATACACAAAATACACAGTCAGGCTGAGACAGCAGAAGCAAGTAGCAAGTCTGGGTGGTTGGTGACTATCCAGAACTCACCATGTTCTCCACGACTCCTGTCCTGTTGACCAACTCACATTCCTCTGCGTGCCCATTGCAAAAGCAGCTTCCCCGGACGATTAGGTCATAAATAGCATAGTGGGCAAACCTCTGAGGTTTCTCTACCAATCCTGAACCATGGCATGGACATTCCTGTCTTTTTAACAAAAGGAGGCGGAGGTTGGTGAGTTTCAGGAGATCTTGAGCCTCAGGACTATAGGGGTCCTCGATCTTGTTAGCTGGACTTAAGGCACGATAAATCACCTGAAAGAGAGAACATACACATCCCAGAACAGATACAGGACTCTGCATACACAGCAAATATCCCAAAACAATGTTCAGGTTGTTACTCTTTTGTCACACCATTTTTGTTGTTTCATAATTTTCTAGAGCATCAACAGTTCAGTTTTGAGCATCGCAGTTCTAATTTGGTGTTTATAACAGTGACTGTCATATTTTGGCAGTAGAACATGTATTTTAGCTCATCCACCATTCTACCCTTCTCTGTCTCTCAGGGTATGCTTGTTTCTGATGCTTTTGGAAGAGGTTGATAATGAAGAGCTGCACCACAGTCTTTGCCAGTGAACTAGAGAACTGGTTGCACTGTTCCCAGGCTTAGGTGTGCAAAATCCAATTTGAGAGCTGTTTTCTCCTCTGCTTGAGCTTTTCCATCGTGGCAGAGGCACTTGCCTTTGCGATTCTTTGGCCCTGCTTTGTAAGTGGTCACAGTGTCTGTCTGACTCACTCCACTAGTGTTAGTGGAGTTAAAGCTTTGTTTCCATAGGGATTGCCTCTTTCTCTCTGTTTTTCTTTTTCTTTCTTCCTAGTGAACTCATTGATTTCAATACTTGCAGCATGTAAAATACTCTTACTCCTTTTTGCTTGCAGGAGCCAAAAAACAGAGCTTGTGGTACATGCCTAGAAGATAGTTCTGCTGCATGATGATGGAACATGGCGAGACAAAAACCCCTAGAGTTGACAGAATCAGCTGCTAGGCTTTGCACAGAGCTACACCTGGCAGTACCACAGCAAAGGCAGTGGGACCTTTCCCACCTGTCCACAGTATTTTCTATTTGGTAAGCTCCATTCCTTTTTTTCTTTTAATTCTCTTATATTGTCAGCTACTTACAAAGCTGCAAACAGCCCTGCTTGGTGAGATCAGAGATGCCCATAATTTCTTGTTTGAGCAATGAAGCCATGACAAAATAGCCCAGGCCTTTCCACCCCATTGTCTACATTCCCCTGGTCAATGGAACCATAAGCAAATGGCTCATTTTATTTTGTTCAGGAGCCCAGTATTTCTCTTACTTTCACAGGGCAAAGACCAAATCTCTTCTGTCCAGTTCCCCTAATCCTATTTTTTTTGTGGAAACCATTATATAAACCCTCTCTCCTTCTTCCCAGTCCCCTGTGGACCACACAAAGGTGGAATGGTTTCTCAGAGTCCTGATCAGCTGATGAAGTACAGGCACACACATATTCCTCCCATGTGGTCAATTAAACAAAGACCAAGACAGTGAACTGGATGGAATAGTTCTTCAGAGCCTGCTAAGGTCAGGGATCTCAAAGAATGGTTAAAAGCCCTTGTGAAACTGTCCTCCCCATGTCTTAATTGGTGCTCACACAGTACTGAGATCTTTAGGCAAAAGAACAGCTGTTGGGTGCTCTCCTCTCAGCATAGGGCCATTTGCTTTTACAGAACTGTATTGTTTTTTGTTTCTCTGCTTGACAGCTTGGAAAAAGGTTTAGTTTCCTGTGGGTTTATTGTTTTGCAAATATTTTCATTTCTGACCTTGCATCTCTTGAGGGGACTTGCTTTGGCATTTTCCATATCCCCTTAGAATGCTGAACATCATTTGTGAGTAGAGACATTAATAGCCTGGAAGTCCCATAGGGGTTGTGGCATCCTTTTAAGAAAAAAACATATTCTGTTCCAGCTGAGGTACAAGAGTTTGCTTGTATGATTAATTTATGACACATTTCTGTCTAGAATAGGCTCAGTGGTGACACTGGATTTGTTTGTCTGTATTTCTCCCAAGGCAAGTCTTGTTAAGTGTTAAAGATCTGATTTGGGTGACATAACACCAGTGAAGTCTTTTGGGAGTGGCACTTATATGTTCTTTCGGATTCAACAAGCACTAAGGAATTAACGTTCCTTAACTTTGTAAAAATCAAAGATACTGAAGATTTACTTAAATAAAGATATTTTGTACCAGCAAAGTCAGAACAGATGTGTTGTGCCAATAGAACTATGTTTAGGTGATCTGCATTTTCCTTAGAGGTAGCAGTTTTATTCCATAATTAAATCAGTTTAGCAGCACCATTTCACATATGCATAAAACTGGAAAATGGGATTTCCCCCTTCCTTCTCTTCTGAATGTCAAATTCTCCTTGAAATATTGGTGGTTAAAACCCTTGAGCACAAGGAAAAGTATACTGCAATCACTATCTCTTACCTAATTTTTAATATTTGATATTTGATTGGATGTTTCTTCTCACATTAAAGTGTCAGTCATCAGATCTTGCTTAACATATGTATTGTCCTGCTGTTTAGAACAATAATTCTTGAAGAACAGATTAGTATCCATAATTTATCCTTATTAGTCTACTATATGTATAGATTCAATCATTCCGGAGTGGGATAAATTTGTTAAAAAGAACTGGTATTTCATCTTACATTCCCTGAATTATTTTTCCATAAATGTATTTGGGTTTATAGTTCCCTAAGGAAAAATGGACCCTAAATTAAGAGACAGATTGGTGGTGGCTGTATATATTGGATAATAATTTTATGTGATTTAGGGAGGAATTTTATTTCTGTAAAAAAGGAGAAGATATCACTTTGATCAAAATACAGAGTTGGAATGCGACTATTTGGTCACACCCCTAGCACAATTGTTCAGTATAATTTTCAGCAAGTAACTAGGGCCTCATACTGTTCTGGATTGCCAGTGAATTCAGTAGCAATAGGAGGAGTCTGGTTTATGTCCTGTTTTCTTTTCTTTTTTTCTTTGTTAATGGGATACAGGTATTCAAGTACTTTGTGGAATGGGAGGAAGATTAGTAAATTTGTATCTGTAAAATTCTCTGAGAATCCCTGGAGATGGATGTTCAATACATGCAATTTAAATAAGTATATGTAAAACATAAGAGTTTACCTGTCACAACCATTAATGCATAAATGTTTCAAATATTAGATTATAAATGGATCAAAGCATTACTAAACTCCTAGAGTCATGAGCTGTAGGAAGAGACATTCCACCTTTTCAATTGTGTTATTTGTTCCCTTTTTTGAGTTCTCAAGGTTTGTATTTCTAAAGCTTATGAAGCAGATTCTTTCTATACACATAGATATTTGACTTCTGCCTTTTGCAGAAAGGCATAAATATTACTGTTTGTCATTTCCCAGAGCTACTGTGTGAATTTTCAGTTTTTCATTATACTCATGTAAAAGACATGAAGGGAGTATAATGAAAAAGAAGAGTTTTCTTTTAATTAAGATGCAAGCTTTGAAAAGAGCTTCCCATGATGTTCACTGTAAAGTTATTTCTCATCTAATTAAATCTCTATCTGATATCAAGAACTGTTCTTTTTTTTTTGCTGTAACAGAGTGCTCTGAAGCCTTCCAGGTGTTTCCCTAAACATCAGTTTCCAGCTGTCATAAAAGTAGCACATGCACAGCTGCAGAAGAAAATCTAATGGTGATTGAGTCTGCTAAGGGACACCCGAGAAATCTTTCCACTTCCACTGATTTGGGTGGAAGTTGAGGGTGTTCAGCACCTCTATAGCTTAACCCTTTGTGGAAGTGCATCCCAGATCCTGAGTTTCCCTTACAATCAGGAGCTGACATAGAAGCTGAATGCTGAGTAGGACATTCATGCTTATCTGCATATCTGCTATCAAGGGCATATTTGTCATTCTGATTTTCAAAAGTCAATCAGCTGCACCTCAAAAAGTCTACCCTGTCCCCTCCTGACTTTTCTAAGAGCAAGAAAGTCTGGAGAATGCTGTAAATGTACAAAGCTAAAAAAGGTAGCCACTGCTAGAGGATTGATTTTGCTGTAAGCTGGCACAGCCTCACATTGTTTTATCACCAATCAAGAGATCATCTTCATTCTGGAGACAGTGTCTCAAATTTTTGATTTCTTGCCATAGGTTTTACTTCTCCATTCTTGATGCATCTAATTCTGTTTTCTTAACCTGATCTTTCAGCCAGTATTAGTCAGAAAAGTTGTGGACACAACAAAGGTTCCCCCTTGCAATCTCATAGCCTAAGGTCAAGGAATATGAGTCATAAAGGGAGGGTGGTGCCAATGCATGGCCTCCCACAAAAGAAGATCCTTGTGCAGAACAAGAATTTGATATTACAAATAATCCTTAAGCTATGTTGATCACGTTGCACTCAATCAGGTTAATGAGGTCAGAAATGTCTGTGTGCTTATACTAGGTCCATCAGAAGGAAGCTGCAATAAAAACTCTTATCAGTCCTAAATCCTCTTCATTAAGAGATTTTCATGTGAGTTGATTTTGTTCTTAAAGGAATAGTAAACAATTGTCTCTGAATTTTTCCTACCTTGTGGCATATATCCTCTGATTTATTTGTTAGAGCCCCTTGACTTCCATCTTGTGGTACAGCAGTCCTAACTAAGAAGTAGTCTTTTTCCTGATTTACTCTATGGAGCACAAAGTTTAGCTGTTCTCTTTGCCATTAGAAGGCCCATTCTGACAATCCATGGAATAGTGATTTTTAGTCAAGATCCACTACTTTTCTGTCCTTCCAGAGAACAAAACTCAAAAGCCGGTATAGAATATGATAGTCTGTTAAAGAAATAATTGTGAATTTCATTTTTTTAATTTATTTGAGCTGGGTAAACTCAGCTACTACCAAGACAATGGCATCTTGAATTCATTCTGTATTCTCCAAATTAGAAAGAGATGATGTCCTTTCAGTTTGCATTTGCTTTGAGGTTATTCCAGTAATCCAGTCAGTGTGGCATTAATATTGATATTCAGGCAGTGCTGCCAGTATGATTGGCACAATTGAAGTTAGACAGACAAATCTGAAGAGCCATGCAGACTTTTTCTCTTCCTCGAACAAATTGTATTCTGTAAATTCAGGTTCTCTGCAGATGCACATCTGTAGAATGGCAAGGGTTGTAGGGAGAAGCAGTATCCTCTTTCAAGACAGGTAATGAAGTTGGAGTACAAACTCTAGATTATTTGACTCAAAACCCTTCAGCTTTCAGTCTGTGTACAGGGAATGG